CGGCCGCGCCGGCCCCCCCCCGCGCCGCCGGGGAGGGACTGACGGAGGAAGGCGCCCAACGCCGCCCCCGCGGGCCCGCACCCCTGCCCGGGGCCGCGGCAGCCGCTCCAAAACGCTCCGCTCCGAGCCCCGGACGGGCGCAGAGACGCGGAGGCGCTGCGGTCCAGGCGAAGATGCGCACGCGGACCGCGAGTCGGGGGCGAGAGCCACTGAGACTGGGCGCTAGAGACACCCCTGGGGCCGAAACACCGACGGGGAGAGGGGGAGAGAAACTCGGAGGAGATTCGAGACCCTGGCACCTGGAGAGTGACAGAGAGCAGAGAGGAGCGAGAGAAGGGAAGAACGGGCACCGGGAGGCTCCCGCGAAGCCAAGAGGGAGGTGTCTCCAGGGATCCGAGGCAAGAGATGGAGCCCTCCATCAGCCCCAACTCCAGGCTATCATTTCTAGGATCCACAACCTGGACCTGAACTAGCCTCAGAGGGGAAGGGATTTCTGTGCCCTTAGTTCTAAAGGAACTTGTAAAATACACGTAAAGCCCACCTGGGGTTCCAGGCTGGAGCAGTCTGGGGAGGCCAGGAGCCTAGCTGTGAGCTGTAGCCCCCTTTGCTTCCCACACCTGGGACGCAGACATCCTGGTGAACGGTCCCAGCGGAGGCTGGGGAGGCTGGGGTTGTGGCTTCTGCCTGGTGGCAGCCGGGGACCCACAGCCCAGCCCCAGCAGGGGGCGGGAGAAAGCCAGCCGTTTCGGTGGCGCCTGGGTGGTAGCCAGATGGGAGGCCCCAGGGGAGAGCAGTCCTCTCCCTAGCTCAAGGCTGGGCCAGGTCGGTGGGCCCAGCAGATGTCTGCCCAGGCTTTGGCAGCTCCCAACATCCCCGAAGCCGGCTGCCTGGCTCAGCTGCTGGAAAGGGCTAGGGGGGATCTGTTCTCAGATGACCTTTCAATTCCCACCAAACCATCCCTTGAGAAGATGCCCTCTGCTTCCTTCTGAGGAACTGGGAAGCTAAAGCCCAGTTACCGCCTGTAGCCAGGCACCTCACACACCCTATCCTACACCCACCTTCCAGGGAAAAGGATAATTCCACCCTTAGGGTAGCCACTGTCCCAACTCCAGGGTCCCATTAGCCCCTCTATGGAAACGGGGCACATATGGTGCTGAAAGGCTCCTCAGTGGGCATTTAGCCCAGCACCCCACCCCCCGGGGCTTGGTCTCCATCCACTGGATCCCCATCAAGTGGCCCTTCAGCTCCTGGTGTATTACATCCAAGGACAGGGAGCTCAGTACCTCAAGCAAGAGTTCTTCCATCTTTGGACGCTGCTGACCGTGAGAAGGTTTCCCCTCATTTGAACTGAAATCTGCACCTCAGATGACCCACCTGTGGGTCCTTCTGTGGCCTCACTCAACAGAACCAAGGGCCCTCTGTCTAAACTCCCTAGTGTGGCTTCACCAAGAGGGACCAACCATCCTGGTTTGCCAGAGACTCCTGGTTTTAGCACTGAGAGTCCCACATCCCAGGGAACCCCTCAGTCCCCAGAGTTCTGGATCCCAGAACCAGACAGCAGGGCTGACCAGGAAACAAAATTTCAGAAGCTCCAAGGTTGAAGCCAGAGCTCTTGGCCGGTGTGTGCCATCCTTCACCAGCTGGGAGTGTGTGAGTGAATCCCTGCAGCCTTTCCCCCTTACTCGGGCATGGTGGAGGCAGGGATAGCAATGAGTGGACAGGCAGTATGCTCGGGGCTTCACATATATCATGTCTTTTAACCCTCAGGCAGTTGGTACATAATACCCTCGGGTGGATGTATTATCCCCAGTTTACACATAGGAAAGGGAGGCTGAGAAAGTTCCGTGCTTGTGGTTATGCAGGATAAATTTAGAGCCTATGTTCTATCCCTCGGGCCTGGTTCTCACCCTTCCCTGCAGGCAGGGCACAGTCAGAGGCCTGACTGCCTGGATAATGTCCAGGTTCGGCCACCTGGTCTGTGGGTGTGAGTTGTCATAGAGGAACAATAAAGCAGCCTCAGAGGGGACACACCCGGGCCTGAGCACCTCCTGGGGCCCTTGGCTCACAGCGGCAGCAGTGACCACAGTCTGGCAGGGGCCCTACTTCCAGGCAGCACTGCGCGCGTGAGTGCGTGCGTGCGTGCGTGCGTGCGTGCGTGTGTGTGTGTGTGTGTGTGTATTTCATAGGCAAACACATCCTGCTCAGGGAAGATGCTCCCTGAGGTGGGCACTGAGACCCCTCTCACCTCTCCGTCCAGTCACCACAAACCCTTGGGGGGGGGTGGGTGGGGCAGGTTAGGGGAGACGCCGAGATGATGGGAGTTACAGGAATGATCTAGCCAGACCCTCCTCCATGCCCCCATTTCTCAGATGGGAAGACAATGGGCCAGAGATGGAGGAGGCTTGCCACATGACAACCCACTTCCGGGATCCTTCCGTGGCTTCTCCACTTTGGACCTCCACCGCAGCCCCAGTCCCTGTCTGAAGATCAGTGCTGCTGTGTGGATCTGGAGTCCAACAGGGAATGTGGGGCCCTGGCCCCCCAGGGCAGCTCCTGAATGCGTGGGCTGTGACCTGCTACCAAGGAATTTCTGGCCCTGCCTTCAGATGGAGCAAACACATCAGGACTCAAGGCCATTAGATTAACTGGTGGGAGTTAACTTCCTGCGTCAGAAGAATTGTCCTTAATTGAAGAAAGGAATAACTAGCAATTTAGAGACGCTGACCTCAGCTGCGTGCAGGAGAGAGAAGCCAGAGTCAGCCGGTGCTTCCTGGGCCTCCCAGCTCTGTGACTGAGAGACGGGGTCAGGGTTCCAGACAGGATCTTTCCTCTGGGACCCGCTGCCCAGACCCTTTCCTCTGCCCACAGCCTGTTCAGCTTCCGCCTCTGGAGTAGCCAGTTGCCCCCCGGGCCCAGCCAAGCACTCCAGCCTAGAGAACTGGGGAAAAAATGCAGAGGCCAGGGCTACCTGGTTCCCCAGGAGAACGTGAACACAGGTGTGGATGGAGCGAAGAGGTCCAGGAGGGTGTGGAGAGGCACATGGCTGGGGTGACCCCTCCACATGACAGACCCAAGGCCTGGGTATCCATCCCGGGCAGGTGGTGCCCAGGCACTTGGAGAGGTAAGTGACCGTCATCAAGAGCCATCGTGGCCCCATGGAAAGGCAGCCACGCCACGTTACACTCATTTCCTTTTTGGACACGTCGCAACCGGTGGAGTTCGGTATTGCGGTGCCTGCTGGGCCTGGCATGGCGGGTGTCCAACTCTCTGATGGTGACTTGCACCAAAGTCAGGAGCAGGACAGTGGTCTGGTTAAGTGACTTACCCCTGTCCACTGCTGATGGGCGCCAGCAGAAGGAGGCCTGGGGCAGGACTAAGGCCAGCTCGAGCCCGGCAGCAAAGGTGCCAGTGAGTCCCTCGGCCTCTGCCGGTGTCACGTGGGTCTCTCTCACCCAAGCTGCTGGAAATGCCTTCCCTCCCTGCAGTGTCTCCTGTCCTGGCTCTAGCCGTCTGGGCCCCTGCTCGCTGGTTCCCACACTTTAAAGAAACTTAGGGGTTGTCCACTGCCATGAGGCTCGCCCTCAATCACAAAAGCAGCCCTAGGAATAGATGCTTTTCTTTGGAGCCTTCCAGAACAACCGGCAGTGGCTGGTTTGTTCTCACCATCGCCTTCTCGCACCAGGCTGCGCCCCACTTCTGCCCACCATCCGGGACACTGGGTAGAATGTGCCTTCGCATCTAGAGCTCTTCTCCTGGCTGGGAGCTGTGGCTCATCTAGTCCGTGCTTCCACCTTCAACCTTAAGAAGGGTTAGGACCCTGCCTGTCCCCTTCCCTGCTGGCGGGGGCCCGTTCCCAGCAGTTACACTAATAACCCCAGCCTCACGTTCGCAGCAGATCCTGTGAAGGAGGCACTGGGTCACCAAGGTTCTCATTTGTGATCTCACGCGGGGGCAGGAAGATTCCCTTAAGATCAACACAAATGACCTCTTAGGTGAGCCCTAGGCCCCTGTGTAAGAACCCCTGGCCAGGAAAGACCCCCCCACCCCCACCACCGACCTCGTAGACCAAGCTGAATGCTGTACCTTTACATAGACCATGGTCCCCCCCTCTGTGCCCACAAGGGTGGGCCGCAAAATCTAGATGACATTCACATTCCTGCATCCTCAGTATTTTCGAAAGATGCTTGGAGACATCTTGCAGAACCTGTTGAACAAGACCTCCCCCGATTTTACTTGAGTGTTGAGATGACCCGAGGCCCAAGTTTAGATTTTATTTCATCAATTGCTGTTTAGCTGGCTTCGCTGTTCTTCCGAGTGGGGTGCGCTGGTAGATGGGATTTTGGAGAGAGGGTCTGGAGAGGCCGAAGGGAGATTTTTTTAAGAAAAGAGGGGGTTGGGTGGAGGCAGAGAGATGCGGCCGCTGCTCTAAGGAACGAGCTGATTTAAGAGGCTGCCCAATGGGTTAGCAATTTATCTCCTCCTTCAGCGCTTGCAGTCGGAGCTGTGTTTTGTGTTTGTTTGATGTCAAGACTGTTGAGATTGGCCTCAAGCAAGACCAGTTGTCTTCAAGTTATATTTAGACCAAATACAAACGAGGAACTGGCTGAAAATCTAAAACGCACTGCAAGAGTGGTCCTTGGAGTCTACACTCCTGCAAACATGCATCAGTGCCAGCGGCCCAGAACAAGCATGTACCAAAGCTCCGACCTCAGACTCGTTGCTCCCCTGCCCTGGCCCCCCACACGACATTGTTTATGACAGATTCCAGAACTCGGAGAAGCAAACACAGGTATAGATGATAAGGCACTAAGGAAACAATAGATCAGCCCGCGGGTCCTGATTACTAATGTAACTGTATTGACGAGGCAGGAAATCACAACCAGATTATGTAAATAGATTATGTAACAGACTTTATTGGCACCTAGTAGAATATCTACACCTATGAGGGCTCTGGTACACCTTTCTTCAGATACGGCTTTGCTCAGGCTCCACAACTCGGCATGGCCCTTGCTCTGGACCCCTACAAGGTCCCAGCTCTGGCCGTGCTGGCTGAGTACCAGGATGGCAGTGCTGGAGGGTCCTGAGGGAATCATCTAGACCCAAACCATCTTTATCTATTTTGTTTGAACCCGAGATGCACCTAATAGGATATAATAGGATTTGGTATTACCAGCTCATGGCATGTCCTAGCAGAGTCTTTTTTTTTTTTTTTTTGGTCTCTTTTTGTCCTCACCCCCAGCCCATTCCTCTCTTCCAAATGCTGTGTGCTTTTGCCATCTAACTTCAGAAGCTCTTTCTCCTGTCTGTGTAGCCTAAACATTATATACCTGCATGGATGCATTTAAAACATTACATAATGGCACCATGGCTATAGCCCGTTCTGCTTCTTACTTTCCCCCCTTTAATATTGTTTTCAGATCTATTCATACTGATACTTGTGGATTTGGCGGGTTCCTTTCGATGATAATGTTTCCTAGTGTGATAAGACCTCATCTTGGATTTCCTCACCCCCTTTTGACGGGCATTTAGTTTTCACAGCTCTTCACTGCTACAGATGCTGCTGCAACAAACATCCCCCGCGTTTCTTGGGTTTCTCTGTGTCAGAGATTCTCTGGGGCACATACACAGCCCTGGAACTGTAGGGCCATCGGGAACACGCAGAGTTCCCTAATCACCGCATCAGTAAGCTGCTCTCGAGAGAGTGTTCTGCCAATACCCTCATTTGATGGATATTAAGACTGAGGCCCAGAGCAGGGAAGGGCCTTGTCCTAGTTTAGGACCCGATTGTTCTGACTTCCAGCCCAGTCTCCATCCGCTCAGAACACTCCACACTCCCTTGTCTGCCATGGAGAGAGCAGGGCAGCTGCAGCCTCGTTGAGCAGGCAGCTCGGCCTGTGATACAAATTTCATCTCTCTCCTCCAGGTCCGAGCACAGTGGTACCCACCACGTGCCTCCCCAGAAGGGGATGGAAAAGAAGGTGAGCAGTGTGAGCTGAAATCAGCAGAGAAAGGCCTCCTATTCAACAGGAATAAACCCTGGCAGCCCCCATGGCCCGAGTGTGATATAAGCTCCCGCTGCAGACCTGCCCCACCCTGTCCTCTCCACAGAGGCCTCATCTGTACTTGCTGATACAGATCTCAAAGTGTATTAGTCTTAACTCCCCAGAGAGGACCCCACACTGCTGGGGCTCAGGCAGCTGCTGAAGAGAAGCCAAGACAGAGTCATTGTGGGGAGGGAACCCCTAAGAAAGGGTCATTCTGTCCATCCTTCTGCCTCCAGACTTTGCTACAACCTTCAGCTCTCTCTGTTAGGCTAGCTGGGAAGCTCTTCACATCTGCTCTATTTCTCTCCAGCTGCAACAACAACACAATAACAACAATAACAGGAATAGATTTGCTGAGTGACTACTATGTACCTGGAAATGTTTTGAGTACTTTTCATGTGTTACCTCATTTAATCCTTACAGCAACATAATGAGGGAGGCATTATTCTAACCGTCCCCATTTCACAGATAAGAAACTGAGGCTCAGAGAGGCTAGGTATCTCTCTTTAGGTCACACAGCTAGTAAGTGGTTGGACCAAGTATTCCAACCCAAGCCCTAGGATGTCTGTGATGCTCACCTTAACCTCTAGAGAGAAGAAGACAAGAAATAAATAAGACAAAAGCAAGACACAGGAAACTGAGAGGCTGAGGCTCTGCCACTAACTCCAGGTACAGCCTCAGACAGCTCACCGCCCTGCCCTGTCTGTACTAGATTCACAGGTTTCCCAGAACCTTTCCGCTGGGCTCTGCCCCCGTGGTTTTCCAAAGCCCACATTCAAGATGCTCTGGCAGGTGGAGAAGCTGAGTCAGCAGGAGTCTCCAGGGCACAGATGCTGCGGCCTTGGCCGGGGGCAGAGGCCTCCTGGGGCTATCAGGCCCATATCCCCTGGCCGGATCTCACCCCCTGGGCCTGGGTGGGTGCTGCTGGGGCTATCTATTCTTATTGGAATTTGAATGCTTCAGGTCAGAGTGACTAAAAGGCTGAATTTTACCAGGGTTTTGAAAGTGAATTGACTCCACTTATTAAAGATATACTAGATTACTCGCTGAGTGAAAGGACGCTCCGGGGACTCCAGGCCTTTCTTGAAGACAGAAACATCCCTTTCCGAGCCCAGCCGCTGCCAGTAAACCACAGGGGGAGACGAGACATTGCACTGGGCAGGTGTCAATTAAATTACTGGCTGAAGGATCCCAGTCCATCAAGGAAACATTCTGGCCTAGAAGGGCTGCAGGTGAATAAAGAGGCAGTTGTAGAAATCCCCTCTGGTTATTTTATGCAAATCCATTTCTAAAGGCAGGAAGGGAAAGACTACAAGGAAAGTATTCACGGGAAGACTTGACTTTTGGTCATGAAATGTATAAGGGAGAGAGAGGGATGAAGGGTGTTTGGTGCTCCAGAATGTGACGCACAGGACCGATGCCAGGTGGGGGTCAAGACACTGCTTGTTTTCAGACTCAGAGTCCTAGGGGAGTGAGTCCTAGGTGGGCGGGGACTGAGAGGTTGTTCGTCTATGCCTCTGAGGATGTTGGACAGTTTGAAGGGTATCTGGACTCAGGGCTGGAATTGGAAGGACCTCCAGACCCCACTCACCGCATCCAACTCCAACTCAGTGGACCCAGCACCTCACTGTACAGATGGGGAAGCTGGGCCCCAGGTACTGGGGGTGGGAAGGGGGAGTCACAAACAGGGCATTGGGGTTCCCTGGTGGCGCAGTAGTTAAGAATCCTCCTGCCAATGCAAGGGACACGGGTTCGAGCTCTGGTCCGGGAAGATCCCACATGCCGTGGAGCAACTAAGCCCGTGCGCCACAACTTCTGAGCCTGCGCTCTAGAGTCTGTGAGCCACAACTACTGAGCTCACACGCCTAGAGCCCGTGCTCTGCAACAGGAGAAGCCACCGCCATGAGAATCCCGCACACCGCAACAAAGAGTAGCCCCTGCTCACCGCAACTAGAGAAAGCCCGCGCACAGCAACGAAGACCCAACGCAGCCAAAAATAAATAAATAAAATAAATAAATTTATTAAAAAACAAAACAAAACAGGGCATTGGTGGCAGAGGGTCTCCAGGTTCGTCTCGCAGGGCTCTCTCCTCACACTCCTGCGTGGAGGTGGAGGGAGTGTTGCTGGCTTGTGGAAAGGAGTCTTTTCTACTCTCTTTGACCCCCTCCACCCCATCCTGCCAGGAGAAGTGGGGGTGTTGCTGGT